GCTAAATGCAGCCATGTCCCCGGGTGCGGGTAAAAAGCACAACAACGTAGAGAGGATGGCAAGGAGAAAGAGAAGTATCTTTTCCACCCATCTCTACTTTACGTGTATCTCTGACGCTTATCCTCAGCTTTACCCAGAAAGCACATTGGCTGTACCTGTTCTGTTACTGTGAAGGACCCGCAGCATACCCGGTACCTGTATGGAATCTGCAATACCCAGAGGACACACCGTCAAAGGGATGTGCTGCCTGAGCACTTTGCAAAGCTGCCGCATAGCTTTTACTGTGTTTCTTGGAAAGCACAGGCCACCTGCCCCATGAAGATGCACCGGATTCATGGTTGCACGTACATGTGTTTCCAAGCAGTGCTTCTCAGGCTTTTGTGGGCATAGCCGCTCCTGGAGGGCCTGAGAAATAGCAGATTGCCAGCCCCACTGCCAGAGACTCTGATTCAGTAGGTCTGAGACAGAACCTAGGAATTTTCGTTTCTCACCCGCTCCCTGCGGCTGCTGGTGCTGCCTTCCTTGGATCGCACTTTGGGTTACACCTTTTCTTCTAGAATCTTTGACTTGGAGACAGATAGGGGGAGGGCTGTTCAGTAAATGGAAACATGAGTGTTAAACTACAGGTTCTAGAGCTAAAGACCATATGGGTGAAAAATTAAGGAATTTCGTGAGCTGGTAATATTAGTGTGTGTTTGTTTGTTTTCCGTTTTCTGCATAGTTGCTGTGTGACCAGGTCAAGTCGTTACATTTTTCTATATCTCAGTCATGACATTAGAGGGGGCTAATTTTTAGAAACTGAGTGCTTTTTTTTATTGGCCCCTTTTCTCCGAGGTGGATACTAACTCTGCAACTGCAAAAGAGCTTTCAATGGTGCTATTCCACTAACCAAATCTTCCCTGGGCCCAGTGGGGACAGGTCAGCAGAGACCCTCCATGCTCCACGCAGATGGCGAAACAAAGCCAAGGACTAAATAGATGCCCAGGGTGAGCGGCTCTGTCGTCAGGCGTGGGGTCAGGCTGAAGCAGTGAGAAGAAAGGGGAAGAAACCCTGCCTGCACCTTCACCTTGAAAGTGGAATGATCCAACTTTTATGTCCACAAAACAAAGGAAGGAGAGGGCAAGGGAGGAAGGAAGAAGAGAGAGAGGAAGGAAGGAAGAGTTGATTAAGAGCTAAGGACCGAATGTCCCACTAAAAGCTAAACAAATAACAAGCATATGTCTGAACCTCATGGGGAATGAAAGCAGAAGACACAGTTTGGGGCCTGCTCCCCAGCCACCTATCATAAAAGATCCCCCACAGGCTGGAGCCTTCACACTGCAGGGTGTGAGCTGTAGAGGCAGAAAGGCTTCTGGGTGTTTGCGTTCCCACAAGTGCACACACATGCACACATACACATGCATACCCTATCGGGCAGGCTACGTGCACAACTCAGACACCATGTCTAACTGTCTCTGGATGAACAGGAAAATGATGCCAAATTAACACACTTTGGAAATCCTTCTCCATCTAATGAAGCCATCAGCAATTTTAATTTCATTTTTCATTTGTTAGTTAAAAAAGCAAGAGAGAGAGAACACTTAGCAAGTGATTATCTCCGGGACCTCCATGGGCGCTTCTTCAGCTTTGTATAGTACTTGTCACCAAATGGCATTAGAAATAGCACTGCTCCGCATATTTGCCTTCAGAGATTTTTTTTATTCTCAGGTTTAAAACCTGGCAGAGTTGCTTCCTTTTTCTCTCCACCCCGCCCTGCGATTTGAATCTGTGATTTGAACAGAGGGACCCTACCCAAGATAGGAGAAGGCCTTATAGCACAGGTGCCTTCGCCCCACTCCTGGTGGCTGGAGCCATTCCAGCTTTGAAGCAGTTTTACATAACCCTGAAGGCAGAGCTGACTCAAACCACCTGCCGTAGGTGACTAGTGACTGCCACGCCCTGATGGTTACTGCAAAGGGCACCCTAGAACAAGGAGGCGGAGCTGGGTCCAGCCTCTGGGACATCTTACTCCAGGGTCTTCGCTGCCGAGACGAGGAAACAGATTTTCCAAGACACAGGGATTTCGTTGAGGCTGCCCAGCTGTTGAGGAGCAGAGCTGGGTCAAAATCTGCCCACCAGCCAAGGTGCTGAATTGTACAGAAGCATGTCCCCTCATTAAATGGAAACGGTGCTCTGAACTAAAAGCAGCCCTCCTTCTCCTAGAAGGGAGGGTTTCTAATGTGGACACGATGCAACTTAAGAGGGGCACCGAATGTCGGGCAGGCTTCTAGCTGCAATCCCTCATCCGTAATCAGCACACTGTATTATTTCCTGCGTTAATTATATGCACGTCTGTTTTCTCAGAAAGTTGCCTTCGTCGCGGGGGAAGGACTGTTCTATTCATCGGCCAACCAGCTGTTTGGCATGGATTTTGTACACAATGCGCACTCAGCTACACCTTTTGTAAGACAAATGAGAGCCCAAAATAGCCAGCAGAGCAGGGATGGCAGAGACGCTCTGTAGATGGAGAACAGGAACAGAAATAATCATCTGAATTTTTCTGAAATAGAAAACTTAGGGAGGACAGCTGCCTAGAAGTGGGGAATTACCAGGGAGCAGGTTCTAATTGAGACTAGCGCACATCTTCCTGGAGCCCAGTCATTCAGTGATTCTCCTTTCTTTCCTTTTTAGGACATTTTTGTTGTCTTAATTGAAAGCCCTGTGCCCCTCTGATCAACCACTGTCCCTCCTGAGGGACCAGCACACATACAGTCCTTTTGGAAAAGCTTAATCAGCCCTAATTGACTCACAACACTAACCCAAATTAATCAGACTTTTAGAAAGTTGTCAGTGTTCATCAAGGGAAGCGGAGCTCGACTCCTCCACCACCTTCACGGGGAGAGAGCGTTCAAGCCCTAAACGCTTGACGTCCTGCCAGCGACCCTGCATAAAGGCCCCTTTCTTCTCAAATACATTCACTCATTGGTTTTTTATTTCTGTACTAAACAGAAACAAAAAAAGGACATCAGACTCCAAGAAGGATCACAGAACTTCAAAGTCCAGAAAGCCTGTTTCTGTAGTTGTTTTCCAAAGAAGGAATCTGGTGCCAGCCTCGAGCCTCTTGGTGGAGGCCCCATCTCAGAAGAGCATCATTGGATTCCTGGAAATCAAATGCCTCCCAACTAAAGCAGAATCAAGTGCCTCTGGGTCTAAAAGTCATCGAACCAAGGAAAACCGAACCTCTTACACCTCCAGGTCTTGCCACGGCAGCAACCCAAGCACGCTCAATGCTTCCATCCTCATTGTGCCACCAACACTGTCTGTACGGACTCAATGTTAATAATTGGTGGCAAATTGGCAAGCCTTTTCCTCAAGGCACATTTATTTTGCATTTGATAATTAAAGGCATCGTTTTTAAAAACACCACCATATTCTTACAGAACGCCTTTGAGAAAGAGCCCCAAAATTATCCAAAGGTGTCCTCCTATGAAGAGTCTCTCATCTGGGTGACAGGTAGCACACGAAGCATTTCTATCCCCATTTTAGAATGAGGAAACCGCCTCGGGGACTTGAAATAAGTGAGTCAGTCATGAATCTGAAATAGAAAGGAGACTTCGAGATGACCTTGAATCAAATCCAGTCAGAAAAGGTGTAAACTGGTAGTGACACTTGTTTAGCCTAATGTGACTCCAGAAAGTAAGTCTCATTTAAAAAAAAAAAAAAAAGCAGGCATTACTGTCAAATCCTAAGAATTATGGTGCATATGCCATTACCTTGGCAAATTCACCACATAAGCTTCTGTTGGGGGAATAGACATATGTTATATATGCTATAGTATGCTGCTTTATTTTCCTTTGTAAGTATAATCCATGGAACACTAAAATGACGATCTCACAAAATTACTTGCTGCAATATGTGCTTCTCCTTAGATTTTGCATTTCAGTGTAAAACCCATTCAAAAGCATTTGTTAATTAGCATTAGGATTAGGGGCACAGTCAGAGGGAGCTGCTCAGCCAGGTGAACGCTAAATCACTTTCAATGACGTCTTCCGAAGCCTGAGGGGCCCTGTTAGGACCACTCAACAATCTCAAAGCTGAGCTGGGTCGCAATCGAGAGCACAGGCTTGACTACCAACCAGTGCCCTTCGCTGTACAAAACTGCTCTCCAAGTCTCTGGAAACAAGTCTCTAAACTAAAAGCGGCCCTTCTGCTCCCAGATCAATCAAGACTTCTAAGGTTGAGACGACAAATTTAAGGGAGAACCAAATCTCAGTGGGAGACCTTCACTCTTCAAAAGACCCTTCTCTCTCCCACTCCCGTGTATTTCATGCCACCAGGATTGTAAAGCCCAGTGAACTTGGCCTTGTGCATGATGAGAAGAGTGCCAGGCTGAAGAGTGTGGCCATCCTCGAGGTTCCCTTCCCACAATGCTTTCTGCTTCTGTGGGAACCAGAAGGCACATGGGAGGAAGAAAGGGGAAAATGGAAGAAACTGCGGGGCCTGACCCAGCTGGGGCAGTAAACCACCGCCCCCCCGCCCGCCCCCGATTAAAAAGCAACAGGAAGAACTGCCAACTGAAGTGAGCGACAAAATGCACAGAATATTCATTTGGCTGAGCGGCAGCGAGCGGAAGTCTCTCCAGAGACCTGGGGAGCCGTCATTTCATCTTATAAATTAAGATCTGGGGTGGAAGCTACACTCTCTCGTTCCCCTAGCACCCATCACTCCAACTCCCTAAGCTACATTTCCCCCCCCCCACTAAAACTGCTGAGAACATAAAGGCTGCTTGGGATCATACTTTCAACGCAGAAAACAAAATAGAAAAGCCTCTTTCCACTGCATGTCGGCTGTGATTTGTTCTGTGTACGGCCCTCCAGACAGGAGGCTCTGAGGGCAGGGAGGGGAGCCTGAGCGTCAGAAACAGCTCGCCCTGCACAGGCCTGGACTGTGGTGGGTACTTGGTGCGTCTCTTGGTAAATGAATGACTTGCCGCGACAGGAAGAAGCCAGAATTCTACTCACACTTATGGGAGAGAAGCACGTCAAAGGAATCGGCCCACCGCGTGGCTTCTTCCGTGGAAAGTCTCCTAGAAAAGAAAAACCATCTCCCTTGACTATTTCTGAAATGGCCTCCCACCTTTGGGCGCCACTGAGTTGTGCTCAGGAGAACAAACCGCAGCAGCGCAGGGTGGATGAAGACCATCCCGGGATTCCTGAGATTCTGCCACACTTAAGAGCGTTCGTAAATAACTGATGGGGAAAAATCGCAGGCTTGGAATTCAGCGAATTGGGTATATTGACTTTCAGTCTAAAAAACAAAGCTCAGCTAGTGTGTGATTTAAAGATGTCAAGATAACAATGGAAAGAAACTGATCTTGGAGTCAGAAAAGTTGGGCTGGACCTCTGACGCCATCGCTGTCACCTTAATTTCTTCACCTCTGTAATGAGGACAATGCGGCCCAGCTTGCAAACCTGTGAGGATTAAATGAAGTGACATCTGTGACATCATTGAACCCGTGCCCACACGGTAGAGCCACTGAATCCAATTGTGTCAACCCAAGCAGGCTTTGGGAGTCAGCGGGAGCGTTCATTTCCACACTGAGAGCCCACACTGAGAACTAAGTAGGACCAGGGACTATCCTTCACTGCAGCTTCAGCAAACGGGTAGATGATAAAATATTCTTAGAAGTCAAAGGAATGAAAAAGTAGGCTGCGTTAAGTCGTACATTTGAAAAAGGAAAATAACCATCCTGTCACTCACGTTCAGGCATATAAAAGTCACTGCCAAGAGGCAGGAATTAGTGTCCCTTGGTTCCCCTGGTTAACAGCTCACTGGAGGAGGTGGGCTCTGTGTCCCCGTGGCACGGGCCCCACACCGGGCCCCAGGGAATACCAAGTGGCCCTACTACTCACTTCAGGGCACGGTTGGGCTTGTCAGGAAGAATCGCTGTGAAATCACTACACGAGTCTGACTTGTGAGACAGGCATCCCAGGCGAGTCCTCATCCCTTTGTTCCTGCATCAAGCACAGGGGCACAAGGACAGGGACAGTCAAGACAAGAGCTGTGGGCTCTATGAATGGTCCCCCGAGCTGTTGCTGCAGAAGCCAGCCCTGCCTCCCCCACCTGCATCCCGCCCCAGGTGGCCCCTGAGGATTTCATGATCATGAGGAGAAACACCTAGAAGATCAAGGGATACACTCACCCCCTATCTTGAGGACAGGAATAGTAATAGGTACCCTGCCCCTAGAGGCCTAAAGCTTTTTAAAGCTGACATGCAAGTTGATGGAAGTCAATGAAGGTCATTAGCTTGGAAGAGTGCTAAATTAGGATTCTCTGTAGGGAAAGGAAATACAGTGATGACAAAATAACAATCCACGTTTTACTCTCCCACCAGGAGGGCAAAGTAGCAGCAGCCCCAGCTCCTGATTGCAAAGGGACAGTGGGGGTTGCTCGCTCACGTGATGCAGGGTGCGTATCACAGAGTCTCGGAGCCCAAAGCCTGGTCCTCCCCACTCACCCCACAAACCGGGGATGTACCCGAACGGCTGCAGACCAGCAAGGACTGTGCCCGCAGGTGAGGGGAAGAGGGACTGGAACACTCAGCCATGAAGAACTGGTGCCAATTCTTCTATCTGTTTAACTAAGCTCTCCTACTGTTACTTATATTTTGGCTTATCTCAGTCAGCATGCTTAAAACTTTAACATACATGTTTATAACCTTCAGGCATTTTATTTTCCTGAGGTCCAGACATTTAATAGTTATCTATTTTGGAGGGTCCAATGAGAAATTACGCTAATGTCTCTTTCTGATTCCAAACATTAGGCCCTTTTTACCTTTAACCAGATATTGGCGAACGACAGCCCTGGAAGGTGCCTGTTGTGTAAATAGCACTTTATTAGAACACAACAACACCTATTTACATAGAGCTGAAAGCTGCTTTTCGGCCCAGAGTCAGGTGGTTGCAACACAGACTATGTGGCCCAAAAGCTGAAAATATTTATTCTCTGGCCCTTGACAAAATAAGTTTACTGATGTCTGGCCTTTCACCCTGGCAGTTCCTCACATGGAGGGCAAAGGTAAGTGGAAAGGGTTTGGTTTAATCAGATTAGACATAAGAAGGACTTATAAAACAGGACGACCAGGCACACGCTGTAGCAATTCGCCCTGGAAAAGGCCCTGGGAGATGCCATGCTCCCTGCTGGAACTAAGTCCTGCCTGGGTGGCTTTCCATCCCTCTTTCTCACAGGCCCTGGGCTTGGGCAGGGACATTCGAGGTCGTGCACTTCCATCTCCTCCTTTTACTTCACATGGGCTTTTACCCTGGGGGTTAACGTTCACAGAAAGCAAACAAATGTCTCCGGAGAAGGCATTGCGTTTGGTGAGGACAGGCAACACATGCATTCCACTGCTCAGCTCCGAGGAAGGAGCCTTTCAAGGCTGGGACATCCGAGTTCCCAGAAACGTCCCCTGCCCTGCAGAACCCTGGGCCCGCATGCCCTGGGCTCCCCCCTCTCCTTGCCCAGGCGTGCTGCGAAGCCATGGATTTCATGGCATTTCAAAACCTCTGCTATAGCAAGCATCTCATGTCCAGTCACGCTGACAAATCACAGGGCACTGTGACACCAGGCCACGTGAACAGCGGATCAGGGCCCTTGAGCCGGCACGTTCCGTGAATTCAAGGCAAGGGCTTGCCCAGGCTGCATGCACTACAGGCCCCAGCCCAGCTTTCAGTGAGCCCGTCTGTTCCTTGCTGCCGTGAGACCTTCAGTGACAGTCAGGTCAATGGCCCCAGAAAGCAAGTAAGAGGATTTCCCAAAAGAGAGAGCAGATCCATGCAAGACACCTAACAAGGTTTAGCAGGGGCCAGGGTAAAGAGGGATACTTGTTGCCAAGACAACATTTTTCCTAGATAGTTTGCAAAACTCTTCCCTATATTATTCTTTGGGACAAAATGCTTTTGATTTTCCATCTTGTCTAGCTGAGATCTCAGTTCTAACCTTTTCATTAGGTTGAAAGTAATGGAAGCTGAAGCAAGAGCCAGAGGTTAAGGTTAATTAAAAATAATAATAATAATAATCATCTAGGTTAGTCCTCATCTTTCTTCCCTGCCCCCGGAACTCTAAGAGGTCCCGCGACGGTTCAGTCGAGTTCACGCACGCTGAGTCGCCCCGGGCCCTGGGAGGGCCTGGCGCTGGGGCAGGCCCTGCTTGCAAGGCCATGACTTTGCAAGAAGCACCCTGGGAAGGACAGCATAGTCCAGACAGAGGCCTGGGGGACGGATGCGAGTGGCCCGCCCCGGGGAGACTCCAACGGCGGGGCAGGGGAAGGTGAGAAAGAGCACAGGGTCGGGGGCAAAAGGACGGGCTGGCGTCAGTTACCTGCGTGGCATCAGCAAGGCGGCCATACAGGCACCCGCTTACGGTCAACCCTCTGGCCGGTGTGCAAGGACGGCAGGGCGGGAGATTGGGCCGCGGGGCACAGGGGTTGACCCTTTCACGTCCTCTCACCTAAAATCAAAGAATCTGCTGTAAGAGGGGCCACCCTCTCTTATCTGACTGTGCCACAGATCCTCTCTGATGGCTTTCTGCCAGCTGAGTACCCCCCCGACGCATACCCCATGCCCCGCAAACGTCTGCTTGTCCCGAGCCAGGGCGACCAACCAAGGATGGACAAAAACTGCCTGTTGGTCAGGAGTTTCTATTTCCCCAGCTGCCGGCCGTCCACAGTAAATTGGGACGCGTGGCCCAGGGGAGGAAGGCGCGGGCTTGGCAGGCCTTCTCTTCGTCTCACTTGAGTGGGACCCCAGCGAGCAGCCAGCCGGGGGGGGGGGGGGCGGCGAGGGCGGGGGGCTCCGCGCTTGCTCCAGAAACATTTGATTGGCGGCTCTCCTGACTGTCGCCTCCCTCCGAGGCTGGGACCTGTCTCCGGGGTGGCAGTGTGGGAGCCCCGGGGGGGCGTGAGCGGGAGGAAGGTTGGGTAACTCCGAGGGAGGCCTGACAGGCACTGTCACCGCGCAGGCTGGCTCCTCTGCAGGGCTCACAGGCGCAGCCTGAAGAAATGAGCATGCAAGGCACTCTTTCTGGCCCATTGCAAGCCGCCTGACCTTCCTCAGCCCGGCTGGCCCGTCCCTGACCTGAAGCAGGAGGACATCAGGGAAAGGAGACATAGAGGCTGAGGACTGATAACCTCGCTCCCCTGAGGGTCCCGCTCTCAGGGCTTCAGGCCCTTTGTTCCCACAGAAGAGAACTGACAGGAGGAAACGTGAAGACGGGGGCCTCTCCACTGAGGGATCTCCTCGGGGACCCTGATGCCAACCATCGAATCCATTTTGAAAGAAACCTAATTTGGAGAGATAAGGCCCCTCCAAGATCTGTCTACAGTCTTTTGATACTACCTGGAACATTTCACAAAGACTTTTAAAAATACCTTTTCTAATAATACCCTAATTAATAAAATAACAAGACTGCTTGGTTAAAACTAAAAAAAAAAAAAAAATAGTTAAACTTTGTGTAAGGCTCCTTCCCAAGGACACTGACATGGATTGTGTCCCCCGACAGCAGGGACACTTCCTTAATCTTGGTCCTAACCGTATGTGCACCTGCTTGCTCAGAAGTCGGGGGATCGAAGCCTTTTATAGCTGTAAGGACCTGTGGAAGTCATTATTTTGGGCATCGAAGCCTCACTTTCCCTGGCTTGGGGGAGATAGCCCCGGAGGAGGGGGAAGGCCATGCCAGAGGCCTTCAGGAACTTGGAGTTGGCAAGAACCAGGGACCACCACCCACATACAAAGCAGGCAAGGTCATTCGGGGCAGGTATCCCCAGGCCTCCTGTCGCTGCCTTGTCACGCTCCCCCTTCCCGCCGCTGGCCCACCCTGGCTTGCTGGAGCTGCTCAGGCGCCTACGTCCCTCTCTTCCAAAGCCAGCACTGCCCGCCCGTGCCCCTCAGACCCTCCACCACCCCTTCCATTAGCTCGGCCTTGGAGCCCATTAAATAAGGATCTGCAGGGTTCTGTGACCCCAGCTTCCTCATTCACCCCAGCAACTCAGGGCTCTTACCCCACCTGGCCCTTGTCTTTTGGGGGGTAGAGTTTGGGGTTACCCAGAGCCCAGGAAAACCAAGGGTATGATTACACCCACAGTTCATGTGCCCTCCTAAGTGGACATCAAGTTACAGGTGACTCTACAGGATGGGCCCTAATGGGAACAGAGGAAGCTCGATGGGAAAAATAAAAGCAAAGAGCAAAGATTTATAAAGAGAGGAAGAGAGACTAAGAGCCTCGGCAGGGAGAAAGCAATCAATATGGAGAGGCAGGTTAATTAAATATGGATAATGCAAGCAGCCCACACGGGCACCAGAGAGGAAAGGAAAAAGCAAAAGCAATACTCACTGTCTTTGACCAGTCCTCATGGCCTGCGGGTCTTTGCCAACGGGATGGTCAGAGAGGCTGCGAGTTAAGGAGCTCTGGGGAGAGAGCAGATCTTTCTTTTAGCAGTCAGATCCTTGGTGGGTGAAGGGCATGTGTGCATCCACACGTAGACACACGCGGGCACGCACACACATCTACACACGCATGCATGCACAATACACCTCCCACCACTGGAGCCGGGCAGCGAGCAGCCCTGCTGAAATCTCTCCCTGTTTGTCACATCCAGTAAATACTGAAGCAGCCTCCACCCGGCGGGCGGCGGCTCAGCTCCGGGGCACAGTCTGCACGCCCATCCTCATTGGCAGGATGCTGGAGGTGCCCTGAGCAGAGCTCGCCTGGCACTCCTCCCGCACCTTCCTCCTCTGCTTCACTCCGCTGCTCCTGGCTCCTTTGGCTGAAGCTCAGGGAGAGGTCCCCACAGCCCAGAGCTGCCTCTCTCTGCACCCAGAGGCTGTGCTGGGGGCAGCAAAGCCGTAGGTATTAACTCTTTCCGGCCACCAGTGAAATCAAGTGTCCAGGGGGCCCTCTTCTCATGCACTCTGCTGCTGGCTGGAGACTGGTTGCTGCCCAGGGAGCCGGGAGCATAAAAATCGTGCCCCAGACAGCTGCTGGCAGCAGGAGCCAAGCCGAATCAAATCCCCTAATGAGCCAGGAGGAGGGGGCTGTCTCGCTGGGTGTGATGGGATGTGAGAAATGCAGAGAGCAGGAAAGCGACGGGCCAGGTCACACATCTAAATTCCACCCTCTTTCTCCCAATTCCTATTGTGCTGCAGAACGGAGCCGAACCACCCAGCCCTGAAATTAATTACCGCAAACCGCGCCCCCCTTCTCAGCTGTGCCCTCACTCCAAGAGGCATTGCTCCACTCCCGCCCGCCAGCACCCACCACACCACTCCTCACTCCCTGAGGAATTTTCACCCTCCCCGAACGAACGTGTCCCCAGCTCTGTGCTCCTGCCTCTCACCTGGTTTTTCCTACAGTGGAAACGCACCTCTCTCCCTCATCCATCACCTAGCAACTCCCCCTTACTTGCATTTGTTACGGAGCGAGACTTTTCCCTTTGTTCTGCCCAATCTGCACGTCATTCCAGTTTTTCTGTCTTCTACGTTTTTTCTTCCAAACTGCCTTACCCACATGGATCTTCAGACCGCCTGTTCAGTTCAGGAGGAGGGCTCCCTCTTCCTTCCTGTCCCAGGGCTGTGGTTGTCTGAGTGCGGTCCCTGGACCAGCAGCGTCAGCATCACCTGGGTATGTGTTAGAAATGCAAATGCTCAGGCCCCACCCCCATACCTACAGACTTAGAAACTCTGGGGACCGGGCCCAGCCTTCCAGGCATTCCGATGCACGCTCAAGTGCGCAAACCATGGCCTGCAGGGAGGCTGAGCGGCTCCTCATTCGGCCCTGGGTCTCCGGGGCTGGGGCCCTGCTCCCACTCGGGAACTAGCTCCATATGCACCCATCCTTTGCTGCAAGTCATTTCTGAAACCCAGAAGGCAGCCTTCGTGAGAGGCGGCGCAATCCCTCTAGAAAGTGATGGCTTTTTAATAAAGATATTAGATTCGATTTGCCTAAACTTTTACAACGTTCAAAGCATTTTCATGTATTAACCATCCCCTGCTGTAATCACAGACAGTGCTATTATCCCGGTGTTACAGATGAGAAAACTGGGGCTAGTCAGGTGGCATGCCTTTCCAAAGTGACACAGCACCTAAGGGGGGCTCTGGAAAGGACCAGGACTTGTTTTCTGTGACTCTTATATCAGCGCTTTTCCTACCACGTTGTGCTGGAACCCAGTCTTTCCTCGCAGACCTATTGGTGCCTAACCTGTCTTTTTGCAGCAAAATGATAGGATGAAATAAAAATCTTGATGCTGCCTCCACAGTGACTCATTGTCTCTCTCTGAAAATGTCCACGGTGCCCCCTCTTAGGTTAAGGGTACGTCATGTTAATAAGTGAGATGCAAGAGAAACATTTTCCATCCCTCATAACCCCTGCCTTGAGCCCTGATCTCGCTGGGGTTTAGAATTTGAGTATAAAGAATATTCTGGGCAGGTTGCTGGTACACTGTGCCATAAGAAACCAGTACACGGATAAACTAGTGAATAAAAGCCCACCGATCAGCCCTTCCCTGATCCAAGACAAGTTTATAGCAGGAGGCGGACCCATCCCGGAATTCCATGCACACAGCTAATGTTACATGAGCACTTAGTATGTGCCAAGCCCTGTGCCAAACACTGCACTTGGGTTGTCTTATCTAACTCTCACAACAAACTTAAAAGGCTGATGGCATCTTTATCCTCCCCACCTTTACAGATGGAAACACAAAGACAAGCCATTTATAAGTGGCAGAGCGGGGCCTTATACCAGACTTCTCGCTTGCAGCCTCTGCTCTGCCCCTCGCTTTAACGCAAAGGTAGCGAACGACATCACGGGACTCGTCTACGCACGCTGAGCCGCTGGGACAGAGGCCACCACCCAGGACTGAAAGGCATGGAGGAGGTAGGGCTGCAGATGGGCCCAACCGCAACCAGGTGCCAGAACCTTCCATTAGCCTTTAGAGCGATAACTTAGTCACAGGGAGTCAAAAAGCCAACGCAAATGTTTAAAGAAAGACACCATAATTAATGCAGTTAATTAATAGATTTTTAAAAAGAGCAACAATATAAAGAGCAGAGGTTCAGAGGTGTGTGGACATGCATCAGCCATGGGTAAAAACAGAAAACTAAAACTAGTCCAGATTCTTTTTATTTTACCAAAACACTCCTAAACACCAAGGAGTAACCACCCAGCACCCTGGCTTGAGAAGCACAGAACAGGTACAGGCCCCTTGCTGGGGAGGACCCTCACTCAATCCTCCTTTCTACAGAGACAGGTGCACAGAAAATTCCAGGGGGGAATTAAGCCAGCCGAGGGGTGAGCCTTCTAGCATCGTCTCCTTTCCTGAAGGAGAGAGGCAGGAAAGGCAAGCAGGTTGGAGTGCTAATGAGAAAGGCACTCACCTACTTGGATTTGGCACCCGCGGGCTTGGAGCCTGGACGCGGGGTTACTGAGCTCTGGATTCTTTCCCGGTGACTGATCCACGTGGTTTTCCCCAGGAAAACAGTCACTACTAGCCCTGCTCTGGCTTCTCAGGCTGCCCTCATTTCTCCGCCCTTCCCAGTCGACAACTGCCCTCCCAGAAAGCCGTGCCTGCAGGCAGGAGCCACTGCTCTGTCCAGGATCAGAGGGTCGGCGCGGCCTCTCCTGAGCTCCAGGCCCACAGCCGTCCCTCTCCGAGGTCGCAGTCACCACCGCCCCCAAAGCAACCGCCCTTCCCCTCCAACCCTCCACGCCTGCTGGGCTCCCGGTGTGTGTTCATGACCCTGCTCCCTCCTCGCCCCTCAGGGTAACAAGTACATGTGTTCGGCTTCTTTTCCTCCAGTCCTCCACGCCAAATCGGTTTTTAAACCTTGTCATTAGCTTTACGAACTATTTCCCAGTGTCTTCCCCTCCCATCCGTTGACACTGTCACGTCAGAGGTTATTGGGCACTTAGAATGTGTGGCGTTCCATCCCCCCTAAATAACTGATTTTCCTGCCCTTGTTTCATCAACCCTGGTCCCCCACAAACTTTCTGGCACATTCATGACCACAAGAGTTATCCCCCTGAACAACTACCCTAAAGCAGGTCATCCATATAATCTTTAGTGGGCTCCATTGCAGCTGCTTGTCCTTTCTGACAGTCCAATCACGTGCTCCCATTTACTTATCCAATCTTATATCCCTTAGCGCATGCATCTGCACACACACACACGCATGCGTGCACACGCCTTAGTCCTCGGCTGCTCCCTCTGCCCAGACTGCTCCCACCCTGGATCTGCCTTGTAATTCCCAGCTCCTCTTCAAAACTCAATACCTCCAAGCTAAAAATTCTCCTTTCCAAAGCTTTTTCAGAACTTCCACAATCAGAAGAAGCCTCTCCATCCCAGTGGCACTGCACTACCGTGTGATTCCCTGAGAGCCCACAGGGCAGTCCGAAGTTCATCCCGGGCATTTGTGTCCTGATCCTCGCAAATGGCTGCGTGCTCCACAGAGACCACCTCTGGGACGGCTCCCCTCGCTACCAACCCCCATTGCCTTGTACAGAGCAGGCATTTAGTAGCCGTCGGCTGAATTTGCTTTTGCATTCATAAAAAATTATGAAAAATTACCAAGGGTTCCTGATGGCAGGAACACATTAGACTTCCGCAGTCGCCAGGCCAAGACTGGAGTCAGCCTGGTGCTAATGACACTCAAGGGCAGTGGCTCGGGCACCCAAGGCCTCCGCCGCCTGTTGTTCCCGGCATCCCAGTGAGGCACGGTGGGATCAGTCCCGAGCAAAAGGAGCGCCTGGTACCATCACAGGCCACAAAAATGTAATTACATGGAAGATAAAGGCAATTAAAGCTGCAATACAATATTGTTAAAAGCCACAATAGTGGAGGAGGAGGTTTATTGCTAAATGCTCCGGTGTTTATTTAATCAGCATACCACCTAGGATAGTACCACATTAAAAGCTTTTAATGAAACGGTCATTTGGATATTAGACTTGAATTCTGGTCAGCATGCTAAAGCCCTCCGCAAATCTTTTAAAAGCAATTTCTACTTTGTAGCTTCCTAGTAACAGTAGAAACATGAAACAACATATGCCGCATTGATTTGGGGTTTCCATGGAGACTGGAAGGACATAGGGAAGGGAAGGACAGAAAGAGGCCACCCAGCCCAAAATTCTCCTAAAAAAAAAAAGGCATCTCAATTTCATTCCTCTGAGCATTAGCAGCCTCATTTCCTGTTCATCAGTTCGAGCATCCGGATATTTAATTGGTAATGAGCCTGCTGACTTCTCACAGGAACATCAGAGGGGACAAGAAAGAAGTCAGCAGCTGAAGATGTGGGCCCACGAGGTTTGCGAAGAGAACCCAAGGAGCACCAGGTTTAGAATCAGAAGAAAGTGTCTCTGGGCTTAACTCTGCCGTTACCCAGCTCCGTGACCTTAACTACCCTTACCAGCCATGTGATCACTAACTAACATAAGCCAGAGCCTTGGGTTTAAATTTCCTTTTTTGTAAAACATAATTTCACACCCCTGCCCTGTCTATTTTTCAAGGTGGTTATGAGAAAGAAACAAGAAAGGCTGTGGGAAGAAAAGCACTTTGCAAATTCTAGTACACTGTATACTATGATTATATTTGGCGATGCTCAGAGCTTCCCCTTAGGTGAAATTTTGCCAGTGAGCAAGAATATGCAAAAAAAAAAAAAAAAAGAAAAAAAAAGGTGGCTGATTTAGGAGAGTGGGGGGGATGGCGGGGGGAGAGTGGGGTGGGCAGGGGAGGGGGAATAGAGGGGGTGGGAAACCTTGGACTGGACAGCCCTGAGTTTCCAGAGCTGTAAATGTGGGCAAGTTACTCTCTGCCTCTCTGAGTGTCATTTTCATCATGAGCAAATTGGGTATCACAGCACCAATGTCTTTGGCTTGTTAGAAGCATTAAATGAGATCATGCGATCGAGTGCTGACACATACTTGATGAATAGCAAATGACTGTGTAGTGTGAGCCACCATTATTAGCCTAACTGGCTGTTACATCATCTGTAAAATGGGACTCAGAATTCCTCCTACTTCCTGATTTTACCTAGAGGATTACTTGGAAGCTGCCTGTTCAGCTATTTGACAAACTCTTTGGGAAAACG